ATATATATATATATTATAGTATTATATAATAGTATTATATTATAGTATTATAGACGAAGTATATACCTAGATTCAGACTCGTCTGTGGTAACACATATATTCATACATGTTGAAATCAGTATTAAAAATCGAGATGCCTTTGTCTTGTCACGAAAATTTAATATTAATTTCTTGAATTGCTTATGCTGTTCAAAGATCTAAAAGATTAATACATACCATGAAAGAATTTGGAGAATTACCGATTCGAATACGAAAAGTCGTGTACTTTACCTTATGTTCAACGCATCAAAGATCTTGGGCAAAAAGCTATTTCTCACGGATTACCAAATTTTTTTAAATGGTCACGGCGTGCTATGCTACCAATGGCTTCAGGTAACATAAATTACTTTCAAAATTATTAGAAAGAATTCTTGAGAAAGAAAGTTTGCATTTATTTCTTTTTTTTTTTTTTTTTTGTAGCATTCCTATTAACATTTTGGTTGATGAAGTGGTCCGTTGCGGAAAATAAAAAATCAAAAAGAAAGAATCCTAAACTGTACGAAAAAGATACATAGAAGGGATAGAATGGATTATATTAAGTATTGTGTTTTTCATATGTATTCATATGAAAAATAATTCGATCAAATAAACGTGTTATCTAATATAATCGTCCAATAATATATTTTATTCAAATTAAACAAATAACGTAATAAGGCATTAAAATGTCGTTAGTAATCCAATGCACAAATCAAAGCTACACCTCTTTTGATCCAATGAGCTTGCGGTTGTCGACTAGGAATTTCCATCGGTAGTACAAAATTTGTTGAGTGACCGGTTGTACTCAACGTGCCTGCTCGATCGATTGTTTTGTACACGGGGCAAATGTAGATTCCATCAGGCTGTTTGTGATGCACCTCCGGCAAAAGTAAAATCGGAGGCATGTCTGCGCGAAGATATTTTTAGGTAATAACTTGAAATTAAATTATCAGAAGCAGAGTTTGATTAAGTTGCGTGTACAATGTATATTATTAACAACAATTGTAAAATCATCAGTATGTATTATTATTAATAATAATTGTAAAATCATCAGTTTGTGATGTATAGAACATATTCAATGAAATTCGTGAATTCACCGAAGAACAGCAAATAAGAAATCTGTAAGAAAAATTCTTCCTGCGCGCCAACGATAATAAATATATTTTCAACATATGAAATTCACTTAACACGTGCAATTTTTATTTATATTTTATTTAAATTACTCGTATTTTTTTTGTTTATTTATATTCTTCAAAAAATGTTTTTTAAGGATCAATCAACTGCTACAAGAAAAACACTCACTTTGATTAAGATAAAATTATCATGATCAGAGTTGATAAGAACATGTCGAGAGTTGAAAAAATTACAATATTTATAATATTTCTTTCGATATTGTTATACTCACTAGTATATAGTTCCTTAGGCAAAGATTCGTTTAAATAATTTCCATCCCATCGACATCCTTCAAGAAATAGACCATAAATAACACAACCATCTGGCAGTTTGTAATCCGGTATTGATTTTAATACCTACATAATAGATGAAAAATAATCGTACATTAATATTTGTCGATAATTAATAATATTCTCGGAAATTCATTGTAATCGTTAATCAACGCTACCTGAAAACTGAAATCTATTGTGTCGATGGAAACGACGTATTTACGCGCGAAATTCTGCAAAGTGCCTGTTAGAAATGCTTGTGGAAAGTAGAAGCCGGAAATCCAAAAGGCTGCAGGTATCCCCTTATCTTCCCAAGATTTTAAAAATTGGATCCGCTCCTTCAAGTCCAGAAACCAGGCACCTGCGTTTTCGTTTTGATTACTTTCAGAAAATATCTATTTTAACAAATTGTTTCAAAATAGTCTAGCAGTTGTTAAATAATAATTAAACTCACGCAAGTCACTGTATCAAATTACCGAGAGGTTTTAAAGAAGGATAGCCCTTATCTTGCCAAAGTTGTGGAATTCTGTTGGTGTAGAGACTGTTCAACACAGTTTCCAACTGTTCAGACATGACAACTAAGCCTTTCAGAGCTTTCAGCAGATCCACCAGTGTCATTTTAACTACATCCAGCAAACTATTATATCGTATGGCTTCTTGAAGTAGTACCGTGTTAAAGGATTCTTCGTATAAAACTGGGTACCTTTAATATCGTTTAATATATAGGATTTCTCTTATCAAATTTGATAAAATAATCTTGAAGAATTGTTTTTACAATTGAAATAAAATAAGATATATCTGTTAATATTCAACATTAATAAGATTAACTGCAGTACTGTTCACAGGTACTGATCGAGTACTATTCTTGTCCTTGATGTGTAAACGCCTTTGTCATATGGCTCGAATGTCTGAACATTCCTTTATCTATGATACTTTAAATTCCTATTCTAGAAGACTATTCCTCTCATTTTATATGGTACATGTAATATCCACGGTGCGTTGAATAAAAGTGGAATTTCTTGTAAACGTCAAATGTACCCCGACATATGCTTTAGAAATTTTTCGACGTATGAAGTTCAGAGACGCGAATACAAGAAAATTCTATCTTAATCAAGATTCACAGAATTCGAGTCAAAAGAAGTCGGCAGCTTCGAAGTATTGTGTTATATTTAGATAAAGTTATTCGAAACACGTTGAGAGAAGTTACTTATTAATTTTGTATTACTATATAATAATAATAATTTTATATTTCCAAGCGTACAACGAAAAAAAAGGGGGGAAGCATATTTCATTTCGCTTGAATTTTAATTTTTTCCTTCTTTTAGAAATTGATCGTGTATCAGTTTTTAAAAAAACGTATGTTTCAATTATTTTGGATGGGATGTGTATATATATATATATATATATATATTCTAAAAATGTACAGGCACTTCTACATTCAACAAGATGGATAAAAACATAGTAATTTAGAAGTTATTTAAACAAAACAATTGCTTTATAAGAACTATAAACTGAAAATTTCTTTTTGTCGAGAATCTTTCAATTATTATTTATGATAGTAGGAAATAATATTTTTCCTGCAACCATATAAACCATCCAACAAGTTACTGTTGTCATGATTACTAATAAAAAATAGTAATACATATATTGTCAAACTAAAAAAATATAAAATAATGCACACACGTGGCATACATTGTCCCACTCAATTTAAGAAATATTGATTTTC